AAGTCCTCTGGGGCTTTTATGTGCTGGCCTTGGGCGAGTGAGCTCTGGATGCTTCAGCCCTGAAGAGGTGCCCGCCAGGCCACGAAGGAAGGGGGTATCGTCTCCATTTCTGGGGATTCATGGAGAGTTGTCAGTGGATCAGACTTGAAAGCAAAAAAAGAAAAAAACAGAAAATGCAGGGATGGAGTCCCCTTCCCCCATTCTTCCCTCCTGCTGTGTCTCTCCACAGTAACCAGCAAAATGGAGGCCCTGCAGACTGGGCAGAGCCAAGGAGCACATATGTCTGCAAGAACTGCAGCCAGATGTTTCATACAGAGGAAGGGCTGACCAGCCATATGTGTTTGCCCAATGACCAGTGGCTGTCACCTCGAGGAAACCAGGACCAGCAGGTGAAGGGGCATGCATAGTATGTTCTGTACTCACAGGCTTTGGGGGAGGGGGTCAGTGGCTGGGTGTCATTGTCTCAGGATGGAGGCATCCTCCCGGGGAAGCCTGGGCAGGGACCAGGAGTCAGGCTGCGCTGCTCCAGGGGGCAGGCCTGCGCTTGAGCCTGGAGCGTCCCCTCTGCCGCCTGCCTATGGTTCCTCGTAGGCTGCCATCTCTTCTCTGTGTTTAGGTGTCAGGCACAGAGTTTTTCAAGCCTCTCAGTCATGCCCTGAGGCTGGAGGTGGAGGCACATAGCCCCCCAGGAGCCGGGAAGCCCTCGATGGCACGAGCACAGCTCCTCTGGGGACGCCTGCATCAGAGCCTGTGGGCCCAGCGAGCTGGCCTCTGGGGAGCACAGCCGAGGTGGGTGCTGGTTGGTCCACTTTCTTCCCACTGCTTCCTGCACAACCTGCCAGTGGAAGCCATAGGCAAAGCCCAAACCAGACGCCATAAAAAATCTCTCTAGAACAGCTTGGCTTGCACATTCATTCATTCATTCACCTTCTGGGCCAGCCCTGTGGGGGCAGTACTGGGGACACCATGTGACAGGGATGGCCCCAGCCTGGCTTCCTGGGGCTCCCAGTCCATGCGAGTAGATGAACCCATGACAGGCAGTGAGGACTCAGACTGGGCTGGGCTGGGAGGGGGAGCAGAGAGACTGAGGGGACACCAGAGACCCCACCTGAGGAGGTCAATGAGGACTTCTTGGTGGAGAGGGTCAGAGCTGAGACCTGGGGAATGAGGAGCAGTAAGATTGGCAGAAAGAGGGGAGATTGTGTGGAGGTGGGTAAGAGATGTAAGTTCACGGGATCAGCCATTGCAGCCTGTACTGGAGGGTCCCACCTGGAGAAGCCCCCTCCAGGCGGGCAACAGGGTTCATAGATCCGCTTGTCTATCTCATGGAGCTGCGGTCATTTTTCATTTTGTTGTACTCCATCTCCAGCCCAATCTCTAAGTGCCAGTCATTGTACCAACTTGACGCTGGCCTCATACATCTCCAAAACCCTTTCTATCAGGGCCTCTCTCTCGGGGGGGGGGGGGTGGAGGGGCACATGAGGAAGCTTCCGGCATCATCCATCCAGGCTGAGAATCAAGGGTCTGGCTCGGGCATGGGGGCCCCACTCGGCTCCCTTGCTGAGCCCAACTTGGACAGGGGTGTTGGGTATTATGTTTCCCTCTGGCTCCGTGGGCAGTGCCCTAGCCGGTGCTCGCACCCCCTTGAAGACTGAGCTGTGCACATGTGGCCCCAAGTCACCCCCCTGTGGCTTTGAATTCTCTTCTCCAGGGACAGGACGGAGACCAGGAGGAGAGAGATGGGAAGGAGACCAGCCAGCCCAGAAAGCGGAGAAAGTGCCCACGGCCCAAGGCACCGTTCCTGCCTCCTGCCCCTTCTGCCTCTGGGGGGCCGGGCCCTGAAGAAGGCCACGAGAGCTGCCTGCAGTCTCCGGTGCTCCTGGTGGACCACTCCCTGCAGGGACTGTGCCCGCGCTCTCCCGATACACTGCCCCCGGTGCTCAGCCCCATATGGGAGGAGTCTGAGCTGGATTCCAGCACTCTCTGTTCCATGTCCACTCAGGCTGGTCCTGACGAACTCATCAGCACTGAGCTTGGTGAGTGAGGCTGGGGCCCGTCATCTCTGACCATCACACGGCAGGCCTGCAAAGGGCCAGATCCACCTCGACGTGTAGCATTTGGTCCAGGCATTCTCTCTGGCCTGTGGCTGTGTCTGGTCTGAGCGACCCATGGCTGCTCAGAGGTATCCCAGGACCATGTGGAACCAGCAGCCTTCTAGGTGCTGAGAATTTTACAGGCAGAAGGAAAATAGAGACGCCATTTAGCCTGACCACCCTTCTGCCTGTACTTTTGAAAAATTTTGTTAGCAGCTTTATTGGTACATAATTCACATACCATATGAATCACCCATTTAAAGTATACAGTGTGTTTTAGTAAATTCAGAGTTGTGCATTCATCGCACTATGTAATTTTAGAGCAATTTCATCACCCCAGAAGCAGCACTGTATCCATTAGCAGTCACCTCCCCCCCCACAACCACCATCTCCCCAGCCCTGGGTAACCATTAATTATCTCTAATCATCATGGATGCACCTACTCTGGACATTGCATGTAATTGGAATCATACAGTATGTGACATTTGGTGTTTAGTTTATTCATTTAGCATGATGTTTTCAAAGTTCATCCATGTTACAGCATATACAGTGCTTCAATCCTTTTTTATGGCTGAATAATATTCCATTGTGTGGATACACAACATTTTATCCATTTATAGCTGATGGGTATTTGGGCTGTTTCCATTTCTTCATTATTGTGAATAATGCTGTTATGAACATTCAAATACAAGTTTTTGTTGGACAAAGGTTTTCATTTCTCTTGAGTTTATGCCTAGGAGTGGAATTGCTGGGTCATAGGGTAACTATGTTTAACAGTTGAAGGAACTACCATACTGTTTTACAAAATGGCTGAGCCATGGGAATAAATTTCCATGCACATTGCACGCAAGTTCCAATTTTCCACATCCCTATCAACGATTCTTACCTTTTTCAATTATAACTCTCCTAGGGGGCATAAGATATCTCATTGTGGTTTTGATGTGTATTTCTCCAATGGCTAATGATGTTGATATCTTCCCATGTGCTTATTGTCCATTTGGGTATTTTCTCAGAAATGTCTATTCAGATCCTTTGCCCCTTTTTAAAATTGAGTTATTATCTTTGTATTACTGAGTTGTAAGAGCTCCCTTTATATTCTGTATGCAAGTCCCTTATTAGATATATGATTTGGGAATTCTCTCCTGTATCATGTCTTGTATTTTCATTTTATTTATGGCATTTGTGGTACAAGAGTTTTTATTTTTTGTCACGTGCTTTTGGAGTTGTATCTACGGTTTTGCCTGACCAAAAGTCACTTTAAGTCAGTTAAGAAAAGAGAAGAAATATGCAATTATGCTGACTTTTACTCCTTTTTCTTCTCAGAGCTTTATGATTTTAACTCTTTCATTTAAGTCTTGGATCAGTTTTAAGTTACCTTTTCTATATTATGTGAGGTAGGAGTCTAAATTCATTCTTTTGCATGGGGATATCATTTGTTGCAGCACCGCTTGTTAAAGAGATTATTCTTTCCCCCATTGAGCTGGGGTGGCACCTTTGTGGAAATCAACTGACCATAGAGATTTTAGATTTTTCTTCTTTTTTAATATGGACAGTTACAGCTATAAGTTCCTTTGGAGCATTGCATTAGCCACATTCCATAAGTTTTAGTGTTATGTTCTTCTTTCCTGTATCTCAAAATATTTCCTAATTTCTCTTTTGATTTCTTCTTAAATACACTGATTATTGAGGAGTGTGTTGTTTTATTTCCACATATTTGTGAATTTTCCAAATTGTCTCCTTTTATTGATTTCTAATGTAATTCTACTGTAGTCACAGAACATGCTTTGTATTAAGTTGGTCCTTTCAAATTTATTGAGACACGTTTTATGAGCTAGAATATGTTCTGTCCTGAAGAATGTCCCATATGCACTTGAGAAGAATATATTCTACTGATGTTGGGTGGAACGCACCAAAAATGTTCCTGTGTCTTGTTTTATTCTGTGTGGTTGTCCTATCCATTAGTGCAAGTACTGAAATCTCCAACTATTGTTTTGAATTGTGTATTTCATACTCAATTGTGTCAGCTTATGCTTCATGTATTTTTGGACTCTGTTTTTACATGCATATATGCTTATAATTGTCATAACTTCCTGATGGTGTGATTGTTTTTCTCATGATATGACTACAATGTTACTTATCATCACTGCAATAATTTTATCATAATCTCTAGGTTTTTTTGTTTTAAAGTCTAATTAGCCTAACAGTACCATTCTGCCTCTTTTAAGGATGTTTACTTGCTATATATTTTCTGTCCTTGTATTTTCAAACTGCTCGTGTTTTTAAAATAAAACATGTGTCCTATAGATAATATTAGTGGGATCATACACTTTTTATCTAATGTGACAAACTCTGAATTTTGATTGGTTTATTCAATCCAGTGTCATTTAATGTGACATTGATATAGGGAGGTTTACATTTGATATTTCGCATTTCATTTTCTGTATGTACCTCGCCTTTTCCTCCTTCTGTTCCTGTATTCTGGCTTATTTATGTATTAGGTATTTTCTATTGTAACATTTTAATTCCTTTAGCTTTTCATATTTTTCTTAGTCCTTTCTTAGTGGTTCCTCTACGATGCAAAATTACATCTTAATGTCATCAGAATCTGTTCACATGTACAATAACTTACAGTGAAATACAGAAACGCTACTCCTATAGGGCTCAGTTTCTCCTAACCCATTTACTTTTATTACTTATATATCTACATAATATCGAATATCGGTATGTGTGTGGGTGTATAAACCCAGCAATATACTAATTCTTATATTATACGGACATGTATTATGGAACCAAAACTGAGAGAATAAAGGAAAGCAAGCATTCTTTATACAGTTTGTTATATAACATTTTTAGTTATCATTTCTCATCCTTTCATTTATTCCTGTGGAACTGAGTTCCTGTATGGAGGGCTATTTCTTTACTCCAATGCATCTGCCCTTTGTTGTGCTGTTGTTGTCATATATATGATTATAAATTACAGTAGTGTTTTATGTAATTACTGTTTAGATCAATTAAGAGAAAAAATATGCAATTATACTCACTTATGTAATTACCTATATAAGTACATTTACCAGTGTTTTTTTTTGTTTGTTTGTTTGAAGTCAGATTACTATCCCATGTCATTTTCTCTTTCAGTCTGAAGAACTTCCTGTAGTATTTATTTTCATTGTGGAGGTGTAATTCACATGTCATACAATTCATCCCTTTAAAATACACAACACAGT